GCGGGCACCCGCCGTCCAGTCACTCACTGGCTCATTCCCGCACGCGCTCGCTCGGGAGTCGCGGTCCAGCGCCGGATCTGAGGGCCTGGCTCCCGGGTTCAAATTCCGACTCTGCCGCTGTCTATTCTGTGGCCTTGGGCGAGTTGCTTCTCCTCTCCGGGTTCAGTTTCTCCATCTGTAAAATGGGCCTGGTACGACTGCCCACCAACCAGGGCTGAGCTCCCCGCGTGAAGATGCACGTGAAGCTGTCGGCAATGTCTGGCCAGGGTATAAAAGTTGGCAGTTTTAAACCCAGACCCGAGCTTCGGAGATTCAGGGAGTAAAATGGCAACAAATACAAGTACAATATAATTGCAAGAGTGGCAGAACAGCGTAGGGTGGTCAGCGAGTGAGGGGCAGTTGGGTGCTTGGTAACAGAGGCCATTGAGTCCCAAATGTGGGGCACTTCTTCCATGCCAGATGCAGAACCTTCTTTCTGCTTTTCCAAAACGTTCCCTTTGAATCCTCAAGACAACTCCGGGAGGAAAAGATGGTTGACCCGTATTACAGAGGAGGTGACTGAGAACAGCCTGCGGACTCACAGAACTGGTGGAAGGAACCCATCACTATCTGGCTCTAGGCATATTTCACAAGCTAAGGGTGGCTGGGGCTGTTCCACATTTCTTCATCCAGTGCCTCCTAGCCCTGGCTTGGCTCAGAGTCATATTCAGATGTTGGCTGAACAAATGTCTGAATGAATGTACACATCGATGCATGGATGGGAGCCTGGCCAATGCTGTCACACTAGTAAGCGGGGGCTCTTTCCAACAAACTGCGTAACTCCCCTCCGGGCCTGAAAGAGCCCAGGGCTCCTTCCCACCCTAGATCTGAGGTCAGCCTTTGAAAGACGGTGAGGGTCATCCTGGAGAGGATGCTTCTCGGCAGCCCTGGCCAGGTTCCTGGATGGTTTAGTGCTGATTCATTTTGGATTCACCCCTCCATTTGCCCCTCCAACTTCCTTGCCAGGTTTTGCCACCCTGCCCTGGCCCTAGAGGATGGCCTGTTAGGATTTCAGGGACAGGCTCCCTGTCCTCAGCTTCCTCTTGGGCTTGGCCAATGGGAAGCCCTGGCAGCAGTTTGAGGGCACAAGAAGAGAGAGGTCTAGGTATTAATTTCCTGAGTTCTCTTTTGTCCTGCAGGGTTGTGCCTCCAAGGTGGCCTTCCACATACCTTTTCCCTGAGGGTTCCTGGGGCCACTTTTTCCACTAAACATGTTAACAGTCCCGTCCCCTTTTGGTTCCCCAAGTCCTGCCACACCTTTGCAAGGGAACTTTTCAGTAAACTTCCCCTGGTGGCCCTGTTTGAGGGTGGCATCTGTTTCATGCCAGGACCCTCACTGATATCATTTCTGTAAGGCACATTCCTCTGAAGCACAGTTGCAAGTTGGATTACTTGGAAATGTCCAGTATGTCGAAGGCCTGGCTTTTCTGTTCCTTTTACCTCATCCTGTGAATAAGCCCGGCCTTCCTAATAAGGCAGAACCACAGAACGCAGACGCTAGAGGAAATCTGTGAATCAGCCAGCTTCCTCGGTTTTCCCAGAAAGGCGATGAGACCTGGCCCTAATTGTGTGCTGAGTGGCAAAGTCGGGTCCTCAGCCCGCCTGTGCTCACCTCTTCTGTGGTGGCAGGAATGGCCTGGGAAGACAAACTTTCTTCTCACCTGCCCGTAGCAGTAGAGGCAATACCTGTATCTTTCTGTACCCTTCCTTGGTCTTCCATTTTCTTCTTTTTTATTGTAGTGAAATATACACAATATAAAATTTACCATTTAAAAAAAAATTTTTTTTAACACTTATTTATTTTTGAGACAGGGAGAGACAGAGCATGAAGAGGGGAGGGTCAGAGAGAGGGAGACACAGAATCTGAAACAGGCTCCAGGCTCTGAGCTGTCAGCACAGAGCCCAACGCAGGGCTCGAACTCACGGACCGCGAGATCATGACCTGAGCCGAAGTCGGCCGCTTAACCGACTGAGCCATCCAGGCACCCCTAAAATTTACCATTTTAACCCTTGGTAAGCATACAGTTCTGTGACATTAAGTACATTCACATCATTGTGCAACTGTCACCAACAACCATCTCTAGGACTTTTTTGATCTTCCCAAATTGAAACTCTATACCCTTTAAGCAATAACTCTCCATTCCTCCTTGCCCAGCCCCTGGCAACCACCATTTACCTAGTGTGTGACCTTGGCAAGGCACGCCACCTCTCTGTACTCTATCTCCTGATCTATAAGATGGGATAAGAATAGCCACTGACCTCATTGGCTTGTTCTGTAGTCTAAATGAGATAATGCATGTCAAGTACATGTATTTTTGTTATTTTGCTATTAGCTGATCTGAGATAGCTAAATATCTCCCTTTAAGTGCATCCAAATCTCAAACCTAATTTTAATCCCAACTGCCATGAATTACATCTACTCTTTCCTAGTCTTTTTAAAAAAAATTTTAATGTTTATTTATTTTTGAGAGAGAGAGAGAGAGACAGGGTGTGAGTGGGGGAGCGGCAGAGAGAGAGGGAGACACAGAATCCGAAGCAGACTCCAGGTTTGAGCTGTCAGCACAGAGCCAGATGCGAGGCTTGAACTCGTGAACCTCGAGATCCTGACCTGAGCCGAAGTCGGATGCTCAACTGACTAAGCCACCCAGGTGCCCCCTTTAAAAAATTTTTTTAAACGTGTATAGGGAAGGAACAGAGAGAGGGAGACATGGAATCCTAAGCAGGCTCCACGCTCTGAGCTGTCAGCACAGAGCCTGGCACAGGGCTAGAACTCACAGACCACAAGACCATGACCTGAGCCGAAGTCAGATGCTTAACCAACTGAGCCACCCAGGTGCCCCTGCTCTTTCCTAGTCTTGACTCTCTTTTTAGCCCCTGATTTTGTGTCCAGCCTCATCTCCCACCAGCTGCTTCCCTGTTCCCCCAAATAGAAATGACTTGTGATCTCCAGAAGGAAATATATTTTTGGTTTTTCCTACCTGCATACCTAAGGGTAAGCGATTCATTTCCCCACCCTGTCTGTCAGTGACTTCTTATTCAGCCTTTAAAGCCCAGGTGGGATGTCACTTCCTCCAGGAAGCCCTGCATCCCAGATATGAAATTGTTTCCCCAACACCCATCCCCCGCAGCTATCACTGTCCCTTGTCATAGCCATTATTTCCTTCTTATAGATCTGATTCCTTTGCCATACTCTGAGCCCCCAAGGAGCTGAAATGGGTCCCATTTGTCTCAGATCCCCCAGCATCTGGCACAAACTAGTACAGAGAGGCCCCTGAGGAAATGCCTGTGGGATGAATGAATCTATCTCCATCTCCTTAATGCTAACCTAACTCCTCTCCAGGGTTGGGCTGGCTTTTGTCCTTACCTGTTCCCCAGAGACCTCTTCACACCAAGCTTCACTGTATCCACACTCCTGGGAACACTGGCATTTTTCCTGATTGGGATGTGAGGAGAACAGGGCAGAGAAAAAGGTAAATTTGTTGCCTTAGCTGACTTCATTCTTCTAAATTTCTGTTCTAGAAGTGCATTTTGCAAACTCAAGAGCTGTAGACTGTAGAAAATCAATGCTGAAGCCAACAGACCGCAGGATTCCATATGGCAGGTTTACTTGAGCGGAGGGCTATACGTTCGAGGGGCATTGAGCCCATCAGGCTGAATGAGGCCTCTGGTCATTTGGTGATTTTTGATGTCTGCCTGACTGTCAGGCTTCACTTCTCCCAAATCCCAAGTCCCCAAGACAGACAGCTAGGCCCAGGGAACTGAGGCTCCGCTCCTTTCCTTCCTCTGTCCATCAACTGTCTGAGATGGAATCAGACCTCTCTCTTTCCAGAACAGAGGCAGGGGACTGGAAAAGAGGTTCTTTCCCTCCAAGACTGGCACAGCAAGATGCTCATAGCTAAGCCTACAAGTGCTCAGTGGCCAGGCACACGTGGTCCTGTGGAATGGATTATGGGCTGGGAAGGAAGTGGGCTTTAAAGCAAAGTTCCAGGTGCCCAGGCGGCAGGGCAGAGCCTTGGATGTGGGGGAGGAACTTGAATGAAGTTACATTTCAGCGGCTGGAAGGAGGAGAGCACAGATTCCTTCTATCTTCTTCCTTTTCCTGGCTGCCATAATTATCTTCCTTCTGAAGGAAAGCACTGTCCCCACCACCCCCTGCTGCTCAGAAACCTTCACTGACCTCGCCCCCGCCCCGGCTGCTCAAGGTGTTCATGTGCTGTAGATTGGCATTCAAGGCCTCCATGACCTGGACCCTTCAGTACAGCTTTCATCTCTTCCTACTTTGTGTCTATAAATTGCACCTGTTTCTGTCTGTTCCTTACTTTGTAAAGGGATGTGCATGTGTCTTGTAATGTGTCTTTTACTGAGCACCTACCAGGTGCTATGTACAGCCGCAGACATTCTATGCTCATTCCTCTATCCAATTCGTCCAGGAAACCTGCGGTGTGTTATTTTTCCCATTTTCAAGTGAGAAAAGCAAAGTTCAGACAAGTTGCCCAGGGGTCCTAGCACAGAAAAGTGGTGAACCTGGGCTTTAAGCTCAGATCTACTGGGT